CATTGAACTAGAATAAGCCAAGTGTCTGTTTATGAGCATGGAATTTCAATAACTGCCTGGGCTTTCAAATGGAAAACAAGAAAAATAGCTGATGTACCTAGTAACAAGGTAGCTTGCTCCAAAGATCTAGAAGGCCTGTGGCCAGCCAACCCTGATTACTAAGGAGCCACACCTGGGACTGAGCTGGCACTTTCCCTATAAAGATCAGCAAGAAGCAGTGGCAGGTGATTACAGAGGGTGAGTCTACACTAGGAGTGCTGCAGCATGTCTGCTGAAGATGCTGTATACTGACGGGAGAGAGCTCTCCTGTCGGCATAATAAAACCACCTCCGTGAGAGCCGGTAGCTATGTTGGTGGGAGAAGCTCTCCCATCAGCATAGCGCTGTGCACACCTGCACTTAGGTCGGTGTAACATGTCGCTCAGGAGGGTGGCTTATTCACAGCCCTGAGCGACATACGTTATACCAACATAAAGCGGTAGTGTGTACAAGCCCTCCGAGATCAGTGAGGGGGCTCAAGTAGAGAGTCCTGGGAAACAGGACTGAGACTCCAGCCCCGTAGGGTGTGGGAGTGGTCTTCCAAAGCAGAAAAGCTCCCAGTGAGGAAGGCCTGGGAGCAGGAAGAGAAACCTTTGTTTTGTGTGCACTTTGTTCTGGGATTTTGAGTTTTATCTGGAGTTTATTTTATATTAATAAACCTAGGCCTCAAGGCAGCATATTTTTGATCAAAAAAGAAAAGGGCCCAGGTGAAGTTTTATTTGAATAGTCCAAGAGGGAAACTGAGACAGGCTGCCTGTAGTGTGAGCTGAGGGCATGGTGGAGTGCACAGGAGACAACTGACCTCCTTTCATATCTGCATATGAGTTATTTCATGGGACACGTTCCACAGGCTGGATGAGATGGTCTGCTAAAAGATGAAGCAAAAATTACTTGTTTCATTAAACCACTGAAATAGTATTTTTTTTAAAAAACTACTATAAATTTTCTCTAACAGATAAATAAATTAAATCAACAAACTCTTTTCAGATTCATGAACCCATCACTGGACAGCCTCTTGTCATCATATGCCTATTAGCTTCCTGAAACAGTACAGTTTACTCAGTTGTGAATGTTAAAACCTGTCTCAGTTTACAAAATTATGTCTCTTATCAGACTCATGACTTCAATTATCACATGTCTATCAGATTAATGAATCTGGCAGAAGATGATCAGCCAGGTCATAAAACCAGGGAAGACAATTCTGAACTGAAATGTCATGTTTATTGCAAATGTTAATGGTTTTCTGAATAAGATTACAGAACTATGAAAATGACACTAACTATACTGAGATGAACTGTTCTATGTTTATTATAGATATATATTTAATGAAACTGACTACAGAACTTTGAGGAACAACATATATAACTTGAAAATGTTAGTTCCACTGATCTTTATACACACAGCTGTGATGATATGTACAACACACGTATGAAGAACACTTAGAGCAGTGTTTCACAAACCTCTGAAAGCTACATCCTTTTAGAAAATTAAACTAAAACCAATGTGCTCCCACTGCAGTATGCTGTTAAAGATTTACCCACGTTAATTTGTACTTCTTTCATGTCCTCCTTCAGCTAGTCCCATAAATATACCCTACTCTGGGAACATGCCTCACACTTCGGGAAACACTGGTGTAGATCTACATAATATTCATAATATGATGAGTAATGAAATACTTAATGTTGACATTTAAAATGTCACCATTGGTATCTGAGTTAGCACACACTGAAATTAATGCAGCAGTTCAAACTTCAGAGCTATTGTTTCAGGCTCTCTGCAAACTCAGTCAGACATTATTGCATCAGTTATACTAGGATCACATTTGGAAGGTTTTTATTCCCCACAACCATAACAGAGTAGGGAGTAACTTATTTTAAAAAGGTAAAAGCTGAAACTCTGGAGAACAATGGAGAGGTCTGTTGGTGATCTCTTGACTATCCTTTCACAATGACCCAAGGGGCATACCTCACACTTTTGGAAATATTGATGTAGAGAATTATTATAGAACTGTGAAAACTAAGATGTACAACACCTGCAACTTGGGTTTGTGTGACTAGTAGGGCTGGTCATATTTTGACTTCTTGATGGAAATTTCAAAATTTGTAACGAATTTTTTTGTCAAAATGCTTTCATCATTCTCTCATCAACTTTACAGGCTAAAATACAATGTTGGTCAATTGCAACTTCCAACCATCCAGGAAATGGTTTGCTGATTGGTTTCTTGAATATACCAAGTCAGTAAATCTTTAGTAGATAGGCCCTTTAGAGATCTCATTTCATCACCGTGAAAAAAACAATATGGAGAAGTTCATTACTTTGGTCCAGCTGTGATTTTGGTAAGCCAGATATAACAGCCTCAGCAGTTGCATTTCAAGATATGCTTTATAAAAAAGTATGTTTTTAACAATCCAAGTAAGGTTAAGGTTTGATGCTCCTTTAAAGAGTTAATATCCAACAGTTTGTTACTTTAACTGGAGTTACTAGACAGTTTAGTTACAACACTGTGCTGGAATGGTTTTGATTAAAATAAAACTAGTTTATTTAATTCCAACAAGATAGCTTTTAAGTGAGTGCAAGTATAAGGATTAAAGTCAGAAATAGTTACAAGAGACATATATTCATGGAGGATAGGTCCATCAACAGCTATAAGCCAAAATGGTCAGAAGTAACTGGAGAAGATGGTTGCCAACATATCATGGGGTATCTCCTGTGAGTCCTTTCAGGCCTTAAGTACAGTCCATACCACTTCAGGTCTCCTTCACCACCCCCTGTTATATTTTGTTTTTCCCCAGCAGGCCTCCACCTGTAGTGCTATTTGCATACATTTTAAAGCCCCAGCTAGCTCCCCTACTTGCCTCTGGTGAAGGCACCAGAACTAGCAACTGCTTACCACTACCTTTTTTCAGACCCTCAGCATCCCCCTTTCCAGGGCTTTCTTCCTCTCAAGTTATATTCTCCCAGCTGCTGGCATTGCTTCCCCCTCTAATTAGCCCCTCAGCTGTAGATCTATATGGTTGATTGACCTTCCAATTGGGTCTCAATTAACCTATATTGGTGGAGATTTAAGTGACAGGATGCTGAGTCATTCCTGACTCTGCACATCCTGTCACAAAAGGGTTTCATTACTGTCCCAGCAGTGGTTTTTGGTTTTTCTAGACACCTTTTGCATGGCTAGCCCATTTCCTATTGTATTCATGCACCTGATAGAAATGTGCTAACAGATCCCTGAATCTCCTAAGAAACTGTTGATTTCATGGTTTTGTGCAAGCATAAGAAGAATGTTGATGATTTCAGAAAGTCAGGATACTTTAGCAATTTCATGATACAAGCAATATTTTAATCAATGTCATGCAACCATTCATTTTCTCTGTCTTCCTTAAAAAGTACCATATAAGGCAGGTGACACAAGCCAATCACTGGAAAGGAAAAATGGCATTTTCTGAGACAAGATCTGAAAAGTACTCACATGGTAGAGGAGAGTTCTTAGGGAAAGAAACAGTTTTCTGAAATCATTTTGATGACTTTTGTTAAGTACATCTCCATTGTTACATTTGTAATATAATTGTTACTCTTAAATAATTATATATTAATGGATTTGAATAACACCAAAATGAAGATCTAGATCCTAAGCTGACCTTCAGAGTTCAAGCCTCTTTTTGTTAGGATACATCTTTTTGTACCACATCTTTGTATAAATTACGTATGCACTTACTGTTGATTGTGGCTGGATGCCATCTGGGTGTCCAAGAAGAGGAAGCTGCTAGGACTTGTCACAACTGCCTGAAATCAAAACATGCTGATTCAGAGTTTTGATTTAGTCCACTCACTGGCTGTGAAAGCTGTTGAGTTTTATGGGTTGATCAGGTAATTAGCTTAGGAATGTTGTCTGAGTCTATGATCAGTGTTGTTAAAGTTGGAAATTCAGGGATTATCTTTTGATGTAGCTAGTTTTTGATAGCATGTTATTAAACTTTGATTAACTATGAAGCCATAGAATCTTCTGTATTACTTAAACTTGAGAATATATCATTAAAAAACACAACAAAGTTTCTAAATAATATGATAATGAGAATAATATTTGGGCTTTATCCTGCCATCCTTATGCAGGCAAAACTCCTCAGAGTCATGATGTTTTGAAGAAAATAAAAACATAAGACTATAGTTGGTCAAACAGTTAAAAAAAAAAATTCATGAATAATCTTGCTAATTAAATAACTAAATTAAATTTGCTGTAATTTGTGGGGTTGTATTTGATAAAGCATTGTCATGAATTTTAGCATGAATTAATATTCATATAAATTTTGTGCCAAAAGTGCATTATTTATTATTTGCCATTCATTATTTGCTAAACTCATTTATATATTTTATCATCAGTCAGGGAGCAGAAACTATTCCATGTCACTAAAGTAACCAACCATATATCACAAATAGTGAATAACAAGTATTGAGAATGAGAAGCATGCAAATGACCTCTACACAGACAAATTGCTCACATTATTCAGTGTATACTTATGAATAATAAATATACATGAAGAATAACAGGATTAGTTTGTGTTTGATTTGCAAGAGGGGAAATTTATGACATTCTTAAAGAATAGTTGGACTAGTTCTGCTTTAGATTAGATATACACATTGCTGTTCATCATACAAATGTGGCATAGGACTAGCAGCTACTAGAAATGTTTTCAGCTACACATGAACTATTAGTCACTTTTCCCCTGGTAACAGTGTAGGATAAAGAATTAATGTGTTCATCATTCACTGTTATGTAGTTTTGTTGTGCTTCTGATCTGGTCTCCTCTTTTGATCTACTTCTTTGTTCCTCGACTCAGATCCTCTAAGTAAATATCTGACTCAGCCATCCTAATACATAGCAGGCGCTTTCTCAACAGGGGCCATAATCTCAGCTGGAAGCCCCATTACAGTCATTTTTACAACACTGCTTCCAAGATGCTCCTACAGAGCTACTCACAAACAGAATATGCAGACTGGAGACAAAGCTGTAAATAAATAATGTGATGCAAGTTCTATATTTTACAAACATGCCACTAAAGTTTATCAAGACTTCCTGAACTGTTTGAATTTAGAATTAATATTTACATTAATTAATATCTAAATCTTTAATAGTGACAGCATAAGAAACTTCTGTATTACACACTACAGGAAATACTAAAGATGTCAAATGTGAAGCATTTGATATACATCCATTTTAGGTACTTCCCCATTCCTGCAGTAGCTGAGCACCTCAGAATCTGTCATGAATTTATCCTCTCAACACTCCTGTGAGATAGGGAAGGACTGTTATCCCCATTTTACAGCTGGGGACCTGAGGCAGAGGAGCTAAGGCCCAGATTTTTAAAGGTATTTAGGCACTGCTGCACTCAGTGTTGCAATGCCTAACTGATTTAGGAGCTTTCTCTCAATTTCAAAAGGGATTTAGACAGTTTGGAGCCTAAATCCCTATGACCATCAAGGGAATTTTGGCTCATAAGTGCCTAAATCTTTTTTCAAAATGAGACTTAGCCGTTGCAGTGCTGAGCACAGGAACACCTAAATATTGAAAAATCTGGGCCTATAAGACTTGTCCAATGTAAATACAATTATAGAATGAGTGTATACCTTATACAAGGAGCTCAAACAGTGTTTTGGTGACACTAATACTTTTCAGTGCTGCAGACAGTGTTAAAAACACCCACTCCCTTTTTTAAGAGGTTGTGTGTGATTGCAGCTTTAAGCTACAATACATTTCCTGGGAAAGAAGAAGGGGATGGGGGTTGCAATTAGAGCTGGACAATTAATGGATTTTACAGTTTACTGCCAAATCCAATATTTTATATTTTCAGTTTTGTATATAAATACATACACAATTCAAAACTGAAAACTATTTTTGGCAAATCTAAAAGTTGGGGAGGAAAGATCATTTTGGGTTGAATGAAACATTTTGTTTTGACAAAATCTAAATGTTTTGATACTATTTTTAACTAAACCAAAATATCAAAATATCAAAATGTTTTGTTTTGTTTAAAAAATGTCAAAATGAAACATTTCCATTGGGGGGGAGAGGTTGGGGGGGGGGAAGGTTTCAACCCAGACAGTTTGGTGAAACTGACACAACTTCATGGAATGTCACCAAATCTGCATTTTTTGCCACAAAAAGTTTCAGCCAAAAGAATTTGTCCAGTTGTAGTTGCAGTATATACAGGTGCCCTGTATAATAAATTCTAGCTGACTCCACCAGAATTCTTCTGGGGCTTTCTGAGAATACAACCACCACCAGGGTCCCCCAGCCCTTCACTAGCTCAGCTCTGCCATCTAATGCATAGCAGAAGTGGATACATAGTCCCCTCCTGTTCTTGCTGTTCTCCATCCTCCTAATACCACTAATGGAAGCTTCGAGAAATAAATAGATTCAATTCCTCATTCCCATGGTGCTAGTCCCTGTGCATTGGTACAAGGTGATGGAGAATAAAGGTTACATCTAGCACCAGGTTTTACCCCTTGTGCACCACCTACGGCCACACACATACTAGCCGTCCAATGTTAGTTCTGAAAGTTCCAGCCCGTATTGCGATAGCTTATGGATCAGGAAAACTCTAGAGGAAACTGATGGGATGCAGGGCTTTATTAATCAAAAAGAAGATTGTTTTGCAGTGAGGCCTACAGGATGCCACGCCAGATGTGTAAACCAAGAGGTAATAACTGCTGTTGGAAATGTGGTGAGGAAAAGGGGGACTCCATACATCTCCTTTGGCTCTTCTGAGTAACTCAAATATTTTGTTACCTACTGCATGCCAATCCACTCTGCACCACAGTAGGCTCCCTGCCTATTGACTCTAGCTGGGTTCTGAAAACAGGATTTGGCCTTTAATGAATTTCAGGCTATGTTTGTATACAGTCATTCTACAGCGTGTTTTTTAATGTCTACAGAGAGCACTTACAGCTGATCATTCTGGAATGATTTGTATGCATCATTACAGACTTCGGGCTGTTTAAGTTTCCTTAGCAAAAAGGAAGTCTTTTACCTAGATAACTGCCGATGTTATTTTCTGCATTTATAGCACAGCCGGTTTCATATTAAATGCAATACTAATGGGTTTTCAGTTGGAAGCACAAAATCATTAAATACTAGTTGGCCACTTTTCTTTTCATGTCAGTGTGTAGTGTGAATGCTTTCACAAAATAGGCTTGTTTCTAGATGGAAGTTTAAAGACACAACAAGCTGTAAAGAAAAGAGGAGGCAATTGTAGATTTTTTCCCCCACATAAAAATGCTGATATATTTCATGTAGCAGATTACCAATGGCAACTGGTTTTTACACGGCGGAAGTATGATTCTTATAATAAAATAATAAAGCTAATTTCTAGCTCTTATACAGCATTTTTCACCAGTAGATCTCAAAGTGCTTTACAAGTAGGTTAGTGACATTATCCCCATTACATAGATGGGGAAACCAGGGCACAGCAGGAAAGTGTTACTGAATGCTGATTTCAATTAACCTATTATGGATATATCATAGAATTATTAAAGTTGGAAGGAACCTTCAGTAGCCACCTAGCCCATTCCTCTGTATTGGGCAGAGAATTGAATTTGTTAGTAGAGCTGGTTGAAACTCAGAATTTCCATTCTGCCAAAAAGTCTGACATTTAGAAATTTTGTTTAGTCCCAAATTGGAATGAGAAAAAAAAATCATGTCCCACAGGAACAAGATGTGTGGACTCAGGGGCTAACGCCAGCACCCAGTCACGCAACTACCCACCAGTTTATATCAATTGGGTGCTTATTGAAAGACAGGCAGACAGCGGGGGAGGCCAATTAAGTGAGTGGAAACAAGTGAGTGGCCCAACTGAGGGGCTAATTGGCTGGAAGTCGCCCCAGCAGCTAATATTATATAAGCAAACAGGAAGCCAATACTGAAAGGAGAAGTAGGAGCCTGAAAAAAAGCAGAAATAGACAGACCTGGCTAACACTAGTACCATCTCCCCAGAAGTAAGTGGGGAATCTGGCTACTGCCTGAAAAGGAGGGAAAGAAGACTTAGAATGGTTGTAGTCTGTGATTAAGGCCTGAAAGGACTCTTGGGGGACTAACTCTGACACTCACAAAGTGAAATTTGCCAGAAAAAAATTGTTTTGAGTCAACTGAAACAGCCTATTTCAATAACAATAAAAAACTGTTCAAATTTTATTATAAAATAAAAAATTAAAATGAAAAAAGTTATTTCAAAGTTAAAAATAGGTTGAAAATAGAACACTTTGACCTTATCACACTACTTCTTTTTTTTTTTTTCCTAAGCAAAATTTTATCAGAAGCAGCAGCATATTCCTGCAGAAAAGTTTGTTTTGCCAAAACAGTATTTTCTAATGGGGAAAAATGTTCCATTGGAAAATTCTGACCACCTCCATTCATCCAAACCCATCCTTGATTCACATGGGTAAAGTTTGTTTGTTTACCTACAATCTTAAAATAATTGATCTAAACATTCTGTGCAGCAAATTAAGCCATTTCTCCTTGGACAACTTGCTTCACTTCTGTGTTTCATTTTCCCCATGTGTAAAGTAGGGGTAATAATATTTACCTCCTTTGCAAAGCACTGTGAGATCAATTGATGAAAAGCACTCTGTAAGAGTCTGCATCTGTATAAAAGTTTCTTATAAAGGATTTTTTAAAATTATTAGGCTCAAGCTTTCTACGTACAACCACAAAGAAGCATTAAAGGTATTTGGGGGCGGGGGGGGGATAACAAACTGCTTGTTCATACCTTTAAATATATCAGGATGATCAAATCTCTTCTTCCCTGATTTTGCTAAAGGACCTGTAAGAGGTCTAAGGGGGTGTTAACTGTGAGGTCTAATGCCTCCTGTTGAAGGGGTGAGGGTTTGGGCTCTTTAACAAAGGCTTCCAGTCTCTGGAAAATGGTGAGTTGTCATTGAAGTTAAACGTGTTAACAAAAACAAACCCAAAGAATCCCTTCCCCTCTCAATTGCTCACCTTTCACTTTCTTGGCTCTTGCGCTGTCCTCATTGTCTTGTAGTTCTTCAGTCACGTGTTTCCCAATCTTTTAAAAACAAGTAGATTAGCAAATAAATAAAAACGCGAAACTTCCGGGATTTGTGTGCATATCATTAAGAAGCAAAAATGACCAGATAGGTTTTTTTTTTCTATTTTCAGGTCACCTTCAGTTAGGATAATAGAGCCCTTCCCTCTTTTTAATGCCCCTCTGTTTATTACTGGGGAGTTATGTCTCTCCTAAATCACATTTTCTCTTGAAACTAGAAAAAAGAAGAAGCGCAGATGAGGAGGAGAGAGACACACAGGAAGTGTGTTCTGAATGGCCAGAACAAGACCAAGCTGGAGAGGGTTTAAATTCAAGGACATCAATTTATTTCTCATGAAACTCTGGACAGGCAACTGCAGGCAGAGACAGGTTACTCCCCCTCCCCTAACCCCCACGCAAAAAATGTGACAGCAGCACCACGGAGAAAATTTGCAAATCTGTACTCTATTAAATATGAAATGGTGCATTAAAATAGTGTTAAGATTCTGTCTTGAACTGACAGGAGTGGTGAAAAATTAAGGTACAACTTTTAGAGCACCCTTCCCTCTCCATTATGCACTGTCAGAGACTGAGACCTGGTCTACACTAGGAGGTTATGTCGAATTTAGCAGGGTTAACTCAAATTAACCCTGCACCCATCCACAGAACGAAGCTATTTATTTCGACATAGAAGTCTCTTTAAATCGATTTCTGTACTCCTCCCCGACAAGGGGAGTAGCACTAAATTCGACATGGCCATGTCGAATTAGGGTAGGTGTGGATGGAATTTGACGCTAGTAGCTCCGGGAGCTATCCCACAGTGCACCACTCTGTTGACACTCTGGACAGCAGTCCGAGCTCGGATGCTCTGACCAGCCACACAGGAAAAGCCCAGGGAAAATTTGAATTCCTTTTCCTGTCTGGCCAGTTTGAATCTCATTTCCTGTTTGGACATCGTGGTGAGCTCAGTAGCACTGGCAACGATGCAGAGCTCTCCAGCAGAGGTGACCATGCAATCGCAGAATAGAAAGAGGGCCCCAGCATGGACTGATTGGGAAGTCTTGGATCTGATCGCTGTGTGGGGCGATGAGTCCGTGCTTTCGGAGCTGCGATTGAAAAAACGGAATGCGAAGATCTATGAGAAGATCTCCAAAGCCATGACGGAGATGCAGGATACAGCCGGGATGCAATGCAGTGCCGCGTGAAAATTAAGGAGCTGAGAAAAGGGTACCAGAAGACCAAAGAGTCAAACGGACACTCCAGATCCCAGCCTCACACATGCCGTTTCTACGAGGCACTGCATTCCGTTCTAGGTGCGGCCGCCACTACTACCCCACCACTGTCCATGGACTCTGACGATGGGGTATTGTCGACGGCCGCTTCCTCGGAGATGTTCGCGGACAGGGAAGATGAGGAAGGAGATGAGGAGGACGAGGCAGTCGACAGTGCTTTCAATGCTGATTTCCCCAACAGCCAGGATCTCTTCATCACCCTCACAGAGATCCCCTACCAATCCTCCCAAGGCAGTAACCCAGACCATGAATCAGGGGAAACATCAGTAGGTAAGTGTTTTAAACATTTATTTGGAACAGAATAGGAATGGTATCTTAACAATGGGTTTTTCATGATTAGTTTGCCCTAGGCGCTTTAGTTTCTAGTCCTTGCCAGTGCAGCTACTGGAAAATTCTGTCAATATGTCTGGGAATAGAGCAGAAATCCTCCTGGGACATCTCCATGAAGGTCTCCTGGAGGTATTGTGAAAGCCTTTGCATCAGGTTCCTGGGGAGAGCGGCCTTATTGTGTCCTCCATGGTAGGAAACTTTTCTGCGCCAGGCTAGCAGCAAGTACGCTGGGATCATTGCCTCGCAAAGCATGACGGCATACGGCCCTGGTGCTTGGTGGCATTCATGCAGCATGAGGTCTTTCTCTGTCTCCGAAATCCTCATCAGAGTGATATCACTCATGGTGACCTGCTTTGAATTAGGGGAATGTTAGTATTGGGACTGATTGCCTGTTCCTTTACATAACTGTAACTGGCCGTTTACAGCCACATGGGGGAGGCGTGACAGGGGCAGCATGGAGGGATCTTTCCCGGGGACAGCCGCGAGGGGGGTGGGACAGGGGCAGAGTTCATGCTGGCCGGATTGCCGGCAGCAGGAACTGGCCAATGCTAGGAGCATTGCTTGGAACGTGAAAGGAGGGCACTGCTATAAATTAAGCTTTAAGCAGCCAAAAGTCTACGGCTTACCATGTCCGCCTACTAGCCGAATTCCGTTGTCCAGCCCCGCTTGTGTGATCTGTACAGCAAGACCCCAAGCACTCAATGGGAAGGCTGAAAGTTCGACCTTGTACT